TTTTAATTTCTTGATGACAGAGTCATTGATGGGACAACGTTTTTGAACACACACACGCACGTTAGAATAGGGGAAACACTTTGAGCCCGCTTACTTTTTTTCATGGCGGGGCAAAAAAAAAGAGAAAAAAGACTGTATTTGGCGTTAAACGAGGTTTTACGCACGGGTTAAAGCTGTAAAATTGCCTGTAATATGTCACAGATTGTACACGTGCATACATGAGCTTTTTTTTCTCTCTCTCTTCTCTTCTCTTTGAATGCCTTAAATGCTCCTTTATTCAACCAAATAAAATGGCGACTACTTAAGTTTTTGAAAGTCCTGCCATTAGGTCCCCCCCGTACTTTCCCAATTATCGCAGAAGAAATATGCAAAATTTAAAAAAAAGAAAAGAAAAAAAAACATTTATTAAATTCCAATATAACGAAATTGTAATTTCAGTTATATTGTAAATAGATGGATTAAATTGTCCAAATTCATGCAGCAGGCAACTTACACCGATGCTTTTTTACCTATGCGTTTTATCTTGTTAAGTCTCGGTAATTTACTCGCATTACATAATATAAGACAATACTGCAGTCCATTATTTGTATACGGATATAAAAAAAAACATTATCATTCCATTTGAAGAAAATGTAAATATTTTTTTTGCAACAAGGTTAGAAATTTAAAACGGGTACAGGCGTGTTACGCTGGTGTGTGTGAATGTTTTATAACCTTGTATTTTTATTAACGACTCGCAAAATAAATCGTGTCAGTCCGCAGTAAAATCTACGTCTAATTCAAAATCATATTATATAATAAGTATGCCTTGTTAAACGTTCAACAAAGCCGTTACTCATTTTGCACACTTAAGCAGCAACAAGATACTTTATTTTTTTGAATTATAGATGTCTTCATACTGATATTGTGTTTATGAAATATTAGACACCGAGAATAGCTGAAGAACGTTCCGCTCAAAGAAACATGCTTTAGCATGTAAATATCTGTTAAATCAAAGAACTGTAGTACATATTTATGGCGTGTTAAGTGTTGCAAAAAAATATCTGTAAAAAAATGAATGAAAAGATAATAACATATTTATTTTAACTTAGATAATATATTTATTCTGAACCAATTATTACAAAGTAAATTCTTAAAATTTACTTTTAAGTTGTAAAAATATTTATCCATTAAAATATTTATGTTCTAGAGATTGGTATGTTCTAAAAAAATGAGTTTTGGACATTTGGCAAATGAACCGATTCATGAGCATTCTAAGCGTGCGGCCATATTGAAAAATACAAGCTAATATTAGAACAAAAACTGTGAAATTGTTCTCTAAGCTACAGATATTTTTGTTATTGATTCAAGACCCTTCTATCGTGTTTACTTTTAAATACATTTATTTACTCATTAAGCAATCAAAAATATAACGTTTTAATAAAAACATCTCTCTTCAGATATACCGTTATAGGCAAGAATAAAAGCATGCCAAAAACATTGTATGATGTAAAAGTTAAACGATAATGAGAAACAGAAGTATCTTTAAAAAAGATACTCAGCCGATGAACTAAAACTGGTTTATTTGCATATCATATCTTATCAAACATGTAAATACAATCATAAGGATTATGATATTCAGCCTAATATTGAATTTGTAGTTTAAGTGCTTGAAATATCAAGATTTTATGCATATGTTGGCACATACAAAGTATTCTGAATAGAAATAGAAGCAGAACGTTTAGTCTGAAGTAAATTCTTTAAGAGTAAAGAAAAGGTAAATGAGATCTAAGAACAAAACAATTTATTTCTTACTCATTTTTTCATCTCAGTTTAATGTTCTCAATGTCATGTTCTTTTATTTTTATTATTGTTAATGTCGTTTTATCTCAAAGAAAAACATTTAAGTAATTGAAGTTTAATCAAATCAAAATTTAAATAGACAGCGTTTTGTTGATACGAAATACCCGAATCTACAGATTTGCAACACCTTTGGAAATAATAAAAGAAACCTAAATCCGAAAAAAAAGAACCAAAAGTAAGCTTTCTAGTCAAAACTTGCTTTGCTAAACAAACCATTAAATCGTTAGCAGTTATATTAATACTTTGTTAATATGTAAAATACATGAAATTTATTAACTTTGTATGCATTTCGTATAAACTACGGATAATACCGTCAAAGTTCGTCTACTTGTGTGTTTTTTGCTATTTTCATGCGCATGAGTGAACAGAAATGGTAGGCGTAATTGTTAGTAGTGGTTTCGTGGAGGGTATTGTAAGTAGTGGTTTCGTTAATGTTTGGCAAAATTTATAACTCATTAAAGCAATGTAAAATAATCTGTAGGAAAATGCATGGTTAGAAAGAAATTATAATTTGTAGGAGCAGGCATGGTAGAACTTAAGTATCTGAAATGTTACATGAAAGTAAAATAGCTTATATATGAATGTAGTATTTCGTTTCCAGAACTCCTTTAGATCAATTAAAATGTAGATGCCTTTACCATGTTGTTACGTTAATTTTTTTACTAATTTTACAATGATCAATCAGATTCCGAGATTTCAGATTGTATTTTTTTAATGACCAATGAAATTTTTACATGAAGGCCAACCGAAAAAAGACGGCCTCCTGTCGAAAAAAGAAAAAGCTATTAAACAGCCTAAGGTGAGAGTTGAAGGAACTGCAGTAGCTGTTAAAGCAGCATGTCTCCAAATGAGTTACTAACGCATTAAGAACAATTTGTGCATATGTTGACCACTTATGTAATAATCGTGAGTTGTAAGTGCCATTGATAATATGCAAAATGCTTCCTTTTGATTACTTTACAACAAAAAACAAAATTTTCATGAAAATAAACATTAATCTGGAGTCATGCTGCTTTAAAGAACTTTCTTTAGAAAATAATACCACTTTTGAGTGCATTGTTGTAGAAAAAAACGTTTTGAGTTCAAATGCGCAGTAATACAAGCACGAAGGCAAACACGCCTTAGTGATTAATTACAAAGCATTTGATAAAAACAAATCATGCATAATTATACTATAGTGCAAAGAAAAATTTATTTCCACTAAAACCATGATAATAAAAAAATAGAAATTGATAAAACGTTCTGCAATTCATTGAGCGAATTGTTTTTAAACTGTAAAAATATATTTTGTTGTTGCCAAAGAAATAAGTTTCTTATTTTGAGAAAATATTACAAACGATTGTTTTACCTACAAATGATAATTTTACGTTTCAAGTCGGTATTGATAAAGTACGTAAAAAATAAATAATTTCATGTGTTACTATTTCATGTACAAATGTTATGCAAAATGTTTATATTATGGCTTGAATAGCTTTATCTGTTCACCTGATATCCTTTTTATTTACAAAATGTTCGCTTTAAATGACATCTAAGTCAACTAGTGTAGAATCGTTGATAAGACGGCTGTCCAATTGTTTTTTCTAGTAAACGACGCGTTACGTAATTGAAAAAAAAAAACAGATTTTTTTTGAACTTTGTCTTAAAGTTAAAGTGACGGATATAAGAGGAGTGACTTTCACTGATTTAAATTCTAAAATTATTCGTCCATATGTGATCAAATCTAACTCATGTTTTTGTAAAAGTTTGGAAAAGATAACTCTAATTAATTAAAGTGTACCAAGTTTTTACTAAAAAAATTATTTTTAAAATGACCGACATCTTATACCGTCAGCTTTTTAGTAAAGCAGCTCTTTTACGATACATGCATTACTCTTACTTAAGTCGTTTGATTAACGCACTGATATGAGTGTGGGTTTGATGTATATTACGGTCACCAACACATTTAGTCTAAATTACCCGAAACGAGCCCAATCTGTTATAAACTTTAAGCAACACCAGGGGCCAAAACCACCTCACCTGCTGGAGCTAAAATATGCATAGACTCCAGTGCATTCGAACTATGTAGTCGCCTCTTGCGATCACGCCAGGGTAAACGGCGCTACAGTTCTGATGCCTCAACCCTTTAAAAGCAACACAAGCCACAAAGTGGGCGGGGGGGGGCACTTAGATGAAATTACGATAATTACTAAAATAAGTACCTACAGAACCTCCATTGCTGTTTGCCTTTTCTTGTTGTTTTTTGAAATTGTTGTTGTTGTTGTTTTTTTTTTTTTTTTTTTTTTTTTTTTTTTTTTTTTTTTTTTTAATCAAATTATATGATTCTTACGAAACTAGAAAAAACTAAAAATACCAAAACTACTACTTTAAACATATTTTAAAACGTTACTAAATACAGTATAATTATAAAGTAGTATAATATAAAGTAGTATAATATAAAGTAGTATATTTAAATATAAAGTAGTATTTTGACTTCCAGACTGTACTAATTGCAAAAAATGCAACTGAAGAAAAAGATGGTTATGGTAATTCGCCAATTACTTAATTTTTGGAACCAAAAATTAAAAGATATTCAAGAAAAACAACATTTCCCGAGCTTTAAAAGCAACATTTAAACAAAACAACAAACGCATAAAATCATAATATCTTTGATCTACGATGATAAAAGGGGTATTTGAATATAAAAAAAGGAAAATAAAAAAAATTTAAATGATTTTTTTATGCAAAAAATATTTAAAATTTCAATTTTTTCTTATCAAAAATGTATTAGTATGAAATTTTATTGAGCCAAATAAGAGGGCTAAACAGGGATCCATTTTTTGCCCAAATAATGAAAACCCAATTAAAAAAAAAATTTTATTTCTTGGGGAGAGAGGCTTTTTTACCGTTTAAAACATCAAAATTAACTAAATTTAACCGTTTTTATCTAATGGTACTATGCACGGAAATTATACATCATATTGACCTTGGTCCTATCTCTATCAACAAGTAAATTTCAACATTCAAAAAAATTTTGGGTTTTAACTTGTATCTCTATGAAAAGACATAACTGGCTTTCAACCAATGGTATTGTATAAAACAATCTGTAACGAACATCTTTTATTCAATCATGTACTGTCACGTTTTGGCTAAGTAAAGAGGTGAGGGTCGCAATCACTATTGCACGCACACTCTAAGTGTCGTTTCTATGTATTTCGGAAACCAAGCTATGGAAACGGCAGGAGAATCGTATAAAAAGGCGAAAGAATCAGACATGAGCCAAAGTGTTTAACAATTTTGCAATAATTAACTTCGTTGAACAGGTGAACAGGAAAGGAAGAAAAAGATGTTGCGTTTTGATATCACTGCTGTAGTGCTGGTTGCTTGTCTTTTCAATTTTGGGGGTAAGTTTATATATTTTTTTTTATAAAATAAAACACAAATTAAATAAAGCAAAGATAACTTTAAGTTGAGAATTAGAAACAAAATGCACACTGATACACACATGGAATATTTTCTTTTTATTTTAAATAACAGAGATTTAGGTTTTGTAAAATAAAAACTAATTAATAAATAGAGATGAAATGTAAATTTGTAATTAATGTATAGTCAAGTATTTTAGAACAACTGAAAACAGTTTGCAAATGCTTAACTTGCTGATAGAAAAACTGTTTCAAAGTTTTGTGACATAAGTGTTTAAAGGCCTATTGAACCTAAAAATGATCAAAGTTTTTTATTTTATTTTTTATTTATTTATTGATATTTATTAATAGTTATTCATATTTATTTTATATTTATTTATTTATATGTTGTTGTTGTTGTTTTCAAATTTGCAATATTGCTGTCTTGTTTATACTTGCGAAAAATATACTCATTAAATGATGCATCATTTACGTGTTGGTCTTTTTTCAATGTTAACGACGATGGGGCTTGTAATGCTTAAGTCAAATAAAATATTTGTTCTGTTCTGTTCTGGTATTAAGTACAGTTAAAGTGCTTTAATTTTTTGCGTGAAGGTCAAAGCACATTTCTCGTCTTATATTACAAATAATTTCACATTCAGCGCTATTTTCCTTTGTAGATATGCATCTCCTAAATTCGAAATTTAAAATAACTCTATTATCATTTATACGAAAATATAATAAAATTTACACCCTCTCTTTAATTTATCTATTTATTTATTTATTTATTTATTTATTGACATCATTTGAACTGTTACTATATTTTGTTTGTCCTATTTTAATAAAAACTAAATTGCGATATTAAAAAGTTTAAAATAGCAAAGGATATAAAAAAAAAACGTTATTGTAAAGGCAAGAGTAAATAAGTAACGATTTCCATATAGTATATTTGTTGTTGTTGCTGTTTGTTGTAGTTAATTTTTGGTTTTTTTTTGTGTTGTTGTTGTCTCTTTTGTTTATTTTTATTAATAACTTTATTTATTTATTTATTTTGGTATTTTATATTTAAAAATGATTTATTTAAATAAAATTGTTAACATAAAGAAGAAAATAAAGAACAATTTATACACCTATGAACAAGCATTCGTCATTCCGGTGATATATCACTTTTCATAAGGCTTTGAATCCGTCATTTACAGACCCATTATGCCCCCAGAAATGCTACCTGATTCTCAAAAAAAACCTTTTTTTTATATCTTGTTACAGTTTTTAAAGAAATACTCAATTGCCAGATACATTGACTATCTTTTGCAACTAAAGCTCTATAGTATTTTAAATGGAAGTCAAAACATTACAGTCTTTAAATATTACTTAATGACACATAAATGCATGGCCAGTGCTACTTACTTCAGTTGTTAAACAAATAACATGCCCTTACGCGATTTATTAAACACTATTAAACACATGTTTGACATATCCGAATAATTAAAAAACTATAAATTTCTCGAGTCATGATGTCCCAGAAATGCTACCTATTTTATTTCTCAAAAAAAACTTTTTTGGGGGATATCTTGTTACAGTTTTTAAAGTAATACTCATTTGCAAGATACATTGACTATCGTTTGCAATTAAAGCTCTAACATATTTTAAATGGAAGTCAAAACATTACAGTGTTTAAATATTACTTAATGACACATAAATGCATGGCCAGTGCTACTTACTTCAGTTGTTAAACATCTAACATGCCCTTACGCCATTTATTAAACACTATTAAACACATGTTTGACATATCCGAAGAATTAAAAATTATAAATTTCTCGAGTCATGATGGGCCTTTGTAATTAAAGTAACATTACAATTTAAAGACATACTCTGCCGCTTTTAAAAGACTAAGTTAACGATTTCAAGTTTTGCATTTACTTCTCTGAAATAAAATATCTATATGGTTGAAAGTCAAAATGACTATGTGGTGATCTTAATAGGAAAGGAATGTTTTTATCATTTAAGATATGTTATTTTACAAGCAAGAAGTGAAATTGTTATCCTTTTATATCTTAATTTGTGTGATACAAAAAAGTTCCGTGCCGAATGATTGCATTAAACATTGTAAATTATTATAAAGCCATAGACCAACATAAAGCACAAGAAGAAAAACAACACGTCACAATTGTGATAGCTACCCATACCTATGGAAGAGCAAAAGAAATATATAAGTGTCATTATACAATGGATATTGAATGAGTGGAGATTCAATACTGAATTTATTAAACGAGTTTAATAAAATTATATCATACGGGCCTCTAGCGAGCAAATTTAATTTTATTCAACGATTTCAATAAATTAAGTAATGAACCTATACGAATTTAATATGCTATTTGTCACAAACCAAAAATAGAGATTGTTTTAAGTGAAAAATAATGATTTTTCATTGACGGGCCTATGGTGTGATGGAAACATTTAGCGTGTCTTTACACTACTATGTTTGTTTAACGTATATGACGTCACATCAAGCTCTGTGCAAGGCCATTTTTATTAATTTAAAATGGTGTACTAGTAACTTTATATGTAATATTTATCAATTTACTTAATTTAGGTGGACTTTTATTCGATATATTGGAATAAACGAAGTTAAAAACTCCTAGCATTAAAATACTTATTGTTTACATGGTTTGTTTCTTTCCGTAGGTCAAACCGAAATACAATATCCGTTCGGTGTATTCTTACTACATATGTATAGTGTTCGAAGTCCTAGTCCGAAGTTTGACGGAAAGGGCCGAGAAGATGCGATTGACGGATCAATTTTTTTTCTGTCCAAACTTTTTATTTTTTATTGTATTCTTTTTTAAATAAAGTCTCGAACCCTCTCATCCTCATGAGTTATACAAACATATAGTATTTAAGGGATAAATTTGTATTTGAAACCGCGTATTTGAACAATAAGATACTCACGAAGATAAACTTTACGAAAAACATGTTTTTTGTTTGTTTTTTTGTTGTTTTGTTGTTGTTTTTTAGGAAACATTCATTTACGTTTTTTTTTCACTAACATTAAGCTGGTCCTACACAAAAACACCAATAAAATATTAAAAAAATGTTATGACAGAAAATATATATTTTACCCTGACACTATAAACATTTATAACAGATGCAGCAGTTACTGGCTGGAATACTCCAGGTGGCATAACTGGTGGTGGTGGTGCTGCGACCGACATCGCCAAAGATGAGAATACAGCTCTCAATGCAGTCATAGTAACATTTGAGGCTACGGGTGATGCTGCAATTACTGGTTACGCGTTGGTATCAACGAACACGCCCTTTTCTTTGGACACATCTAGTGGAGAGTTGACGTTAACCACTGCCCTAGATTATGAAACTGCCACCAGTCATACAGTTGAAGTGGAGTAAGTAACTATAGGGTTTTCACAATATACAAGCGTAATAAAAGTATGATTCCTACAGCTTGTTTGTTTTATTACAAATTAATTGTAACCAACTTTAATGCATGTATATTTTTATAACAGATCGAAACACAATATCTAGGTTTACCCTTCACTCAGATTTGATTATATTGATTGATTCTTAAATCTGTTTTGTTACGTAATTGTATCATTATTATCTTATGTTGTCATATTTTTTTAACTTACTAAGTTACTACATGTATCATATGAAACTTTTTTTTTAATTCTAAAGAGACGTTATATTTTATTCCCTGAATATGTCTTAGTTATAAAATGGGAGGATTATTTTATGCGGCGGAAGGTTGTTCTTTTATGGAATTATGCATTGAACTATTATGTTGACATAAAGGCGTTAAACCAGTCTTGTAAGGTTTTCATTTCAAAACAACCACCAGGTTATTATTTTCAATTTACAAAAAAAATCATTTCCATTCCACTGATGTTTTTGACATGACTGTCCTCAAAATAATTATTGCGGATAAATGTTCTATTTGATAAAGAGCTTTCAGATTTCAAAATTTCAGATCGATTGCTCATTCCTTTTTTCCTGAATAACTTTTCAACTTGTGAAAAATGACTCAAAATTGAAAAGCGTTGCAACGCTTTTCACTCGAATCGGGCTTATAATGACAAAAAAAAAACAATTTTCAATTCATTTTCGAGTATATATTTCTTACTTCTATCGTTTGCACTTATTTCGGTTCTAAGTGTCCCAATTGATCTCTGAAAGAAATAAACATTTTATTATCGTAGGCTTGTGTGGAGTTCCATTAAGGTTTGTTTGTTTGTTCTGATTTTACGGCACGTCAACACATAATTGGCCATATCGTGCCGAATGCTATAATAGGCTATAGGAATATGTATAAAGCAACTTTAACACAATACATGTAGGTGTATTGGCATTATGAGAGAAAAAACTCTTTTTTCGAGAATCTGTACATCATGCGTAATCAGTGCACTGTTATGATTAAAAAAAATCAACTAATTAACGTGTTTAAATTTAAATAACAAATAACCAGAGTGAACGCTTTCAACCAAAAAGTCAACTATGTTTAATACTAAATAACACGTGGATAGTGATAACTAAAATGTGGCTAATTTTTAGAAGTCAGTATATTTAATGTAAAAATATATTGTCTTGGTAAATAAAATTATCTTACTGGTATTTCAAAATGCAAAAATAAAGTATATTCCTGTTATCGCCAGAAAGACACAAATTGAAATACATAGGCTCCCAAGAAAGGCATTGTGATAGGAATAAGCAAGTGCTGATAAAAGCAAGACATGTTACACATTTGATTGTATAGCCTTGCAAGACAATGATTTTGTTATATGACGTGATCTGCCGTGAATACAAGGGTTCAAAAGTGTTTCTTACGCCTCAGTGGAGTTCTTTTAAACAATGGTACTTATTGTTAGCATAATACTTGTAATTCTTATCATATCTTAACAAGATAATTTAAGTGTCCTTTTTCTCGTGTTTATCAATATATAAATGGAACTGTTTAAAAAGACCAGTTTTCCTTCCATTTTTTATCTGCTCCAGTCAATACTCTCCATCCATCACATCCTTCATTATACAAAGATTGTTCGAATCTATTTATCTATTGCACTAAATCTTGATACTTGATTTACACTCTCCGCGTCCGACGCGTTTAGCCAGCTTCCGTAATATTGCGTTATTTCAGTACGATACCTTACAGGGTACCTTTCAGGTGGTCCTATGCGGCTGGAGGTTGTCCCGGATTATGTTCCCTCTCTTATCATTAGATCCTTTGTATACTTTGCTTACACTAAAACAGTACTTAAACTTCATCATAGTTATCATTTAGTAAGCACAACATGTGGGTTTGTTTTGAGGGTTTTTTGTTGTTGTTGTTGTTGTTTATTTTGTTAAGAAGAATGATATTTTGTTGGTTTTTTTGTACAAGTGCTCGTTCAAATCTTTGAACATCTTGATACCCGTTTGTTTGTTTGTTTGTTTGTTTGTTTGCTAAACAATTTGGTTTGTTTTGTTTTCGTTTATTGATACTCTCAATGACAACCTTTATTTATTTCACCCATCAAATATTTCAGAGCGAACCCGAGAAATGGTGGGGCTGTCGCACCCGGGAAAAGTGACAATCACAGTAAATTTTGTTAATGGAAAAAACCCCCCCCACCCTTTGCCGGAAAAAAGACAAAAAATTTCTGTTTTCGGGGACCCAAAGGTTCAGCTGCAGGTAATCCCCTTTTCAAACTAGTTTTTAAAATTTTATCTAGCTAAAAAAACTGTCAGTTTTTATATTATTGGAAATAACAAGAAAACCCGTACAAGTATGACGCTGGTGTATCTGATTTACTCAGAATTTGGTCAATCCATAAAAAATATTAAGGTCACACTATTTTGGTTGAAGTAGCAGGCCTACAGAATATAATAGAAAAAAACTACAGTCTTAGGAATATTTAAAACTCCCTCCTGAAAAACATTATACAGTTGAAAGAAATTGAAATTGCACTTCAAAATGTTCCTATCTGAAAACAAACAGTTCGCTTTTCTGCCAAGGGGATATACCTTCTTTTAAAATATTAAGTTGTTGTTTGTTTTTCATCTGATCTTGGCCCAGTAAAATTTTCCTAGTTTTTGTTCTATAATAAATCAGTCACAGTTGATACTTAATTCGGGATAACATTGTTCTTGAATTATACACTCCCTTCAACTTTAAACATCAACACAATGTTAGACATATGAGGCGCAAAATATAATATGTTAGCCGTCTGATTTTCAGAAATTTAAATTAATTTGAATCCATCTTTTTTTTCTGTTTTTTCTAGTAATACGTGATTATACAGGGCAATATCGCTATCTGTGATCATCCGGATTATTATCAGACATAGAACGAAACGTTTACACTGCTTTGGTTTTGATTTTTGTACTTATTTGTTACACCAAAAGATATGCCTAATTAATCATATCATAAAAAATCTTAATGAACATCTTATCGATTTAAACTTTAGCCCGAGATATGATTAGGTGAGAATTAATTTACGATCCCGCGCGTACGTACGGATACCGGGATTCTCCCGAACCACTGTTATGACGCATGACCATGTTGAATAAATTATCTACTCCTTTTTTATATGGGCTAGTATTGTAGTAGATTATGCAAGGTGTGAAAGAAAAAAAAGATTCAAAGATTTTCTTACATTTCAGGTAGTGAGAAATTGGGCAATTACCCATTATGTAAAACATAGAGATCATTTTTTTTGTCAATCATTTATAATATTCGCCTCATTATAACCATGCCCTTTAATTGTGTTTTATTATTTTTAAATCTTTGTTTCATTTATGTTTTTTCACATTTCAGATACAAGTGTCACAACTTTCTCTGCCACTGATGAAGACTCAGGTGATACCATTACCTACTCGATCAATTGTAAGTCATTTAACCGCTTCACTTTCTTGTTTTGTTTTATGCAATATCCACAGTCACACTGTAAAAAGTCCCATGGTGATTTTCAAATCTTTCTGTTGGACATTGACCTCAGTAACCACTTCATGCTTTATATGGGCAGGCACTTGAGTAGAATATCTGACCTCCTGTACGCAAGCTGGTAAAGAATCCAATATTAATGCCGGGATTCTACATATCCTTTTAGAGCCCATTACAAAAATAAATTGATAAAAAAGTCATCCGTGGTAACGTTGCAAAACAAAAATAAAACATCAAAAAACAAAAGAGAAAATATCGGTAACGAAAATTGAAAGTTTCTTGGCGATCGTAATTACTTATTTTTTCTCGATGTTAAACAAAATCTTCATGTACAGCTTTGGTAGCATAGTATGTTGTGGTTGCAGATAGCTAACCTGAATTAACCTATAATGGTATCCAAATTACTGCAGTAAATATTGAAATGTCCCAAAGCTGCTGAAACTTTTTTTGATAAGAGTAGTTGCTTAACAGGTTGATTTACCCTTATAACTTTTCACATTTACCATTGAGATAATTTCGCAGTGTTTAGGTATAATTGCTTTGTTTTCATTTATTTTTAGACGTGATATTATGAGCCCTTTTGATTTCATCTTTAAACGGTTAATTCTAAATGCTTAAAATCGAATTTGCAAATTGAATAATGATCAGTCACGAGTACGTTTTACTTAAACGGACTATAATTTCCTTGAAAACAGTAATTTGATAGATTTAATTTATTTTACTGAGAAAAATATATTTTAGCTGGAGATACTAACACCAACTTCAAAATAGCCACAGCTGAGCTTCAGGTCAATACTGGAAATACCCTTGAAAGAGCTACTACAGCTACCTATACACTTGTCGTACATGCTGCTGATGATGACAGCCCATCATTAACTGGGTCAGCTACATACACAGTCAACGTCCAGACGTCATGCAGCAGCGGAGCAGCAGCTTTGACCATGACATTTATTACACTTTTCCTGGCACTCATATCTTCTTTAAACTAATTCTCTAAAGCTTTATTTATGAACCAACCGCCGACGGCTACATAACAGGCACAATATGCCTCAGAATTTTTTTTTCTTTATTTCTTAAAATCTTTTAATTTTAGATATCTTGAACCTGTTTCGAAAAAAGCCATATACATGTACATAAACTAGCTTTTGCTGATTTTGTTTTCTTGAAAATTGGATTAATTTAAGTGAATTAGTATCTGGTACGGAAGTCAGCATATTACTAAATTTACATTTAATTCTACCTTTAAAATACATTATTGCATGTTCAGTGCTAAAAGCACACATATACGATTTTGAATTTATATATATTTTTAAATTATCTTTGCATAAAATTTTGTTTTAAGTGCCAAGCTGATATTTGTAACGATTTCAAGTTTAATGATTTTAAGCTTGTGAGTCTCGGTGGAGTTCCTTTAAGACATTTTATTACACAATTTCACAAATATTTTCATGAATGCTTATAATGATTTTATCCCTTCTTATTTCTTCTTAAAAGGA